GGAACAAAAAAAAAACAGAAAGTATACGTTCCAGTAACAGAACGAAATAATAATAATAATAATAATAATTGCAGAAATCTCTAGTAACTCGTTGTATTCCGAGGTACAAACGAATATTTGAAGAATTTCGCATTTTTTTGGTTTTGTTTTGTTTTGTTTGCCTTTACGTTGATAATATTGAAATAACTCGGTCATTATGGGGGAGGGGGGGGAGGGTGTGGGGTGGTGGTGTCTGATGGTGGTGAAAGGCCTCACCCACGTATACTATCGTAATTATAAATCTTTTTTACGAGAGGTAAGCATTAATTAAGCTCGCAAATCTTTATCCTTATCCTTTGATGGTGCGACGAAAGTGTGCTCACAACGTCGTGCAATGAAATCGTAATCGTGCGATCGCTGGTTACGATGAATTAGCCGCATGCTATCCCTATTTGTAGCCACACGTCGGCGTATCAAGGTATTTTATTAATTATGCAACAACAACTTCGTTCGGGCCTACATACATATATACAAATATATATACAAATAATATTTTCACATAAAAAAGAAAGAAATTTAATTAAATACATATTTTATATTTAGATCGACTGTTTCGTTTGTTTTAATCTTCCATTAATTTTGTTTTGTTCGACAAAAATTGTTTATTATAAATATATATATATATGTATATTAATATTTAATAATTGTATAGATTGTTCATGGTGGAAATTTTAATTGTATATTTTTCATGAATGTATTTTAATACATTTCAGATGATTTCGTGTGTCTTGGCAAACAAGAAAAAATTATACTCCTGTTTGTGCATTTTTCTTCATAATTTTTTTTACTTTTTTGTTCTTTTTTTTTTTTTTATATTAAGACGTGAGTTTATGTAAATAAAAATCCTCGACGACGTATTCGGAGTGAAAAATTTCAACGAAAATAATACGAAATTATTTCAATATATGTGAAACACATTGAACAAAAAATTAATGAATAATTGTTATGTGTTCCATTTCTTTTTTTGTTGTTGTTTGTTATTACAAATTAGCCAATTAAATTTATTCTCATAATATTCTATATTGTCGTGAATTTATATAAAATAATTTTAACGTCGTATATAAATCGTAGATAATTGAAACGTGTAGATTTGTCACAGGCATGCATAACATTCTTGAATTATCTTGAAATACTGGTTTAGATGTTGTTTACAAGATCGCATTTTTTTTTTATATACTTCACTTGCGTCATCTTGTTTAGAAAATTAAACTAGTATTTTTTCAATATCGCCTATTATTGCCAATAAAACTACGTTTATTTATAAAATGAAACGTGACAGATCGCGAGAACTTGAAAACAAAACAACAACAAAAAAAAAACCAATTAATATAAACCTATGTGTAAGATAATTTTATAAAAAAAAAGAAGATATTTGAAGATCGACGAATGAGATACGATAACAGAATATCGAAAAGATGATTATTTAAAACTTTCTAACTACGAAGTGTTTTAGAAAACATTCATCGAACGAGAGATAAAGAAGGATAGGAAAAATAAAAAAAAAAAAAAGGAATAAAAGGAATGAGTTAGAAAGAGAGTGAGAGAGAGAGAGAGAGAGAGAGAGATATATACATAGAGAGAGAAAGAATTCCCCTTGCTGTTCCTTCAATTCAATTGAATTCTATTCCAGCGTGCAGTTGATATCATTGAGGTCGCCACTTAAACTCTCATTGTCGTTCGTCGCTTATTGTTTCACCCTTCGCCCGGGTACCAACGAATGTATGTACGTTCGTACGTTTCTCTTTCACATCCGTACCCGCACCTATAGCCAAATTACTAAAGAAGAACTTTAAGAGAGTTCAAGGGTCCAATATATACTAGTACGAGTTTAAGAAAGAAACTGTTACTACCTTGATCCCAACCTATACATATGTATAACATGTATATCGATAATATTTTATTGTCAAAGAAATTGGATATAAAGTTATCAGTTAATCGATATTATTGTATATTTGTTTCTACATGATTTTTTAATAATGTTAATGTAATAATCAATATGCTGTAGATTTTTTAATACTGATTTCATAAATAATATTTATTTTGTATTTATTTAATTAAATCAATAATTAATTTTTCATGAAAAAAGTATCATAAATTAAATAAATTCAATTATCTTAAATAATCATTAAATTCATATATATCCTATACCTTCTTATTTAAATACTCGTCAACTTAATTGATTGAATTAGTGCTACGATGACTAGATTAATGTATTCTCTAATTCCTGTAACCCGAAACTTTATAAATCAAATACATTCAACTAACCTAAATATCACTGCATACACACATTCCCTATTCTTACTTATTTAATTCTTCATAAACCAAATTCATTTTTTTAATTAGTACAATAACTACATTAACATAACCTCTAATTCCTGTAACATAAAACTTCATAAATGAAATACATTCAATTACCCTAAATATCACTGCATACATACATTCCCTATTCCTACTTATTTAATTCTTCATAAACCAAATTCATTTTTTAAATTAGTACAATGATTACAATTAACATATTCTCAAATTCCTATAACCTAAAACTTCCTAAATCAAGTACAACAACTGCAAGCCGAAACTTTCAAAATCCAAATAACTCAACTTACCATACTAACCGAAAAACTTGACAGTTAGTAAAACCGAATTTAGTTCTTAGTCCATGTTATGTTACCCCAATAGTAGAAAACAAGTACAAGAAGAAACATAATAAGAAATATAGAAACGAAATAACGAAATATAACGATAGAACGAAATAAGAAAATAAGTGCACTAGAAATCGTTTAAAGTGTTTCTCGACTCGACTTCTCGAAGTTGTTAAGTTCTGTTTCTCGCAGGTAGCGCCATGTCGATGCGAGCCGTCGCTACTTGCAAGAGACCATAGCGAATTTCGAGGAGTGTACTTGAAGTTCTTTCAACGTTGGCCGGCACCGTTGAGAACCCTTGGTGCACCTCGGGGCCGGTGTTGTTGGCTGTGGAATACCACCCCAACCTCCCGCCCCCCCCTGCTTTAGTTTTCACCCAAACCCTCGTGCCCCTCCTCAGTTACCACCACACCCCACTTCACCTAACTCTTCTTACCCTTCCTCTTTTCCTCTCTTCATCTCTTCCTCATCCTTCTACTGGGTTTCTCTCATCCCCCATTTCGTACTCTCTCTCTCTCTCTCTCTCATTCTCTCTTTTTCTCTTTTTCTTGCTTTTGCTACCTCGACGTTAGCAGCACCGACGTGGCCACATGAAAACGTGTACGGAATAATGGACGAAGTGAAGTGCGTCGCGGCTGCTACCGAAGTGGCCATTGTTGGCCCACATGCTCGCTCGAACAAACGGGGCCGATCGACTTCGTAGTATAGGGACACATGAGAACCTCGACAATCCCTTTTTTTTTCTTCCTTCTCTATTTCTCTTTCTCCCTCATTCGTCTTCTTTTCCTACTTTACACTTCTCTTGGATCAAATCGACCTTAAAAACTGTAACCGAGTATATCGTAATATTCATTATTCATCGTTAAATATAAATCCATACGTGTATTTATTCATTTATGAAATATATTATACACATAGATAATATTTTATTATTATATAATGATTTGTTAAACTTGAATCCTGTCAAAATAGTTTATAATAAATTCAAGTTAACTCCTATTGCGATATATTAGAATGTAACTTCCTTAATTTTATATCCTACTAAAATTATATTACCATTCTATAAATAACTATGAAATAAAATAGATAAATAAGTATGGAAGTGTATGAAAGGATAGGAATGATCATAGCTATCATGTTCACTGAATTATCCTATCTGATTATATCGTCATTGTTATTAGGATCAGATAGAGATCACCTACCATCTTCCTTTCCCCTCCTCTTTCTCTCTCTCTCTCCCTCTCTCTTACTCAGTCTCTTGTAGCCACCTACGGTGTGGCACTGTTAACAATCCCACTTGATTTCGTCATTGGCGACGTTGGAGTTCCTGAATGAGTTCGTAACGAGATGCACGGCCAGAGGGCTGGCCCAACGTCGGGGGTTGCCAGCACGTGTCTTCAATGGACCAATCAAAGCTCCACCCTCTTCTCCATCATCTCTCACTCTCACTCTCATTCTCATTCTCATTCTCTTTCTCTCACTGTTACTCATTCTTTCTATCTTTATCTCTTTTACTGTGTCCATGTTAACCCCTCTCTTATTCTTATTCTTATTCTTATTCTTATTCTACATCTTGTTCAACAGATTATCTTTAGACTCGTCATTCTTCTCGTATTACCTAATTTAAGCAGCTTTGATAGATTAGGCTAATACGATCTATGTAAAGAGGATTTTTGTGGTCCGAAAAGTTAACTCTCGCATAGAATCAGTTTTTTATTGAATTTATTTTCGTGTTCTTATTAATTAATTTCTATCTGAGGGATAATTAATTGGGGTGGCCATTTTGAAGACAGATTATTGTGTTATAGGATTGATTATTTATTTAATAATAATATTTTATAAATTGTAAGATATATGAGTTCGTCGATTTATGAACTTCAACATAACCTTGATGCAATTCTTAACGATTTCTATATTTCAATTATTTTCTGGTTTAAACATTAAGAGTTAATTTTATTTATATCGTATAATATTATTAATAGGACTGTGCATATTTATTTATTAATAATATTTTATAAATTGTTAGATATATGAGTTCGTCGATTTATGAACTTCAACATAACCTAAATGCAATTCTTGACGATTTCTATATTTCAATTATTTTTTCGGTTTAAACGTTAAATGTTAATTATTCTAAATCGTATAAACAAGTATCGATAAGATTTTAGTAACATTTAAGGTATACAAAATAAATTGATGGTAACGTTAAGTTACGTTAAACGTTAAAGTCAGCAGCACCCTTATTCAGATAACTCGTGTCGGACATAAATTCAATTAAACCCGAATGGTAAAGAGTCGAACGACTAAAAATCAAGTACTTACACTTTGGTGCGTCGTCTCTCTCTTTCTCTCTTTCTTTCCTGACCCTAACGCAACGTAAGACGAGGGTGATTTAATGTGGCCTGTTGAACGTGTCGAGTGGAGAGGATCACAGCTCTTCTAACGTAGTTCAAGCTTCACATACGATCCGCGATCGGTGCTTACACGAGCGTGAAAACGCGACTGATGATGATGGGAAGTAAACTTCAATCGTTTCGCACGTTGTTCGATTACGAAAGATTTAATCGGGTGGTCTGGTTCATCTCCGACAAAAAGAAAGATAGAATGAAACAAATGAAAAAGAAAATTCATTTCAGACGAACGCCTAAACGAGTTTGTTTCATCGATCCTTCATTTTTAAAATCTAAATATTTTTATATTCAACTTAACACGATAAATTTTGCAAGTTAATCATGATAAGAAACAAAGCATATTAGATTAATTAATTTTATAATATTGGGTTGGCAATTATATATATAAATGATCCTTCCTCTTTAAAAGTAGGAATGAAAATGAGAAAGATTAGGGAAAGGGGATGTTTCTTAATATATATATATATATATATATATATATTTTACTTATTTATACAAAAACAAAGAGAGACCCCCGAGGACCTGTAAGTTTTTATTAAAGTAACCATGCTCACTTAGTAGCAAATCAAATATTATTCATTTGTGTTAAAACGATTTGTAGATTGTACATAAATCATAATATTTGTTGAAATTTATGAAAATTTGTATAAAAGTATTTTTATAAATGTAAAACATTGTTGTATCTCTAAGGGGAATTTTAGTGTTTCCTATTGCATCGGAAAATCTTAGCACGTGATTATTAATCACTAGATATCCCTAGAGAGATAAGACGCGCCATCTACGTTAAATTGATTAGCGTCAAATTGAACGATTTGTTCTTATTAGAATATGATTTGATAGAAACGTATAAACGAATTGTTTTTAAATTGGTGTTATAAAAATTGTTATTAAATTGATGAAATGTATGTAAAATTGTTTTTGGAGATTATTTGATTATGAAGATGTTATATTTGAAAATACGGTTATAGTATAGCATTGAAACGGTAGCCATTTCGTCGATAAGAAAAGAACCCGACCCGATCGCGATTCCTTCCGCGATACGATAGATTAATTTTATTGTTGTAATCGCGGAAGAATGGCATATCCAGAGGGTAAAATAAAGGAAAGTCACGCGATAGTATGGTTGAAATACATTGGAAATACTCTGTGTCTCGGTGATATATATATATATATATACATAAACGTTTTTCAGAGAAAACACAGACACGAATATCAGATCGAATTTGCATCAGGGTCGAACACGTGAAGAAATCGTGATACCAGTTCACATTTTAACCACCATCGTACTACTATAGTTTTCGAAGTGATCATTCCGAAGTGGAATCATAGACTAATCTAAAAAAATAAAACGTATAACATTTCCAATTCCCTAAAAATCATACAAACATCAAACAATAATAATTACGAATTAGATTCACAATGAGATAGATAAGAATATGATTAAAAGCTTGTTGACAAAAATTGTACATTTAGTCGAGAATAATAAAAATTGATTCCACTTAGAATGTAGCCTAAAAATTTTCCAGAGACAAAAATATTCCTAGTAAATATTCCACTGAATTCAAATTTATGATGGTCCTTTCGTATGGTGCATATTCAACGCACTGTGCTTCTTTTATCCTCGTAAAAAACTCGAAAAATTATAATTACTTCTCGTAACGTTGCTAGACGAATATAAGCCCGAAAAAAAAAAGAAAGAAAGAAAATATAAAAGAAGGATAATTTCATACGTTCTTATATTCTACGTGTACGTTTGCGAATGAAAGTATTCATAAATAGGTATAGTCGAATGATTAGCGAAAGACTCGAAGTTGCGTAGTTGAGTTTCGCGATGGGGCTTGGCGAATAGAGACAGACGACTTGCGACATTATAACGAGTACCTTACTCCTCGACATCTATGAGAGAAAATTGTTACATCGAAACTTCAAAGAGAATTTTCTTTCTTTTTTTTTTTATTTAAAGAAGGAAAAAATAAAAATAATAATAAATTAATTTCGAATGAATCTGGAGAGAGAAAGAGAAATGATTTTGAATTAAAAATAATTCAATTAAATTATAAAATAATTGTCAGGAAAATTGTAGTAATTAAAAAATGTTTAGATAATTTAATTTTCATTTTAA